GTGGGGGGGGGGGGGGGGGGGGGGGGGGGGCGTCCCTCGGGGCCTCAGCCGGGCCCGCTGAGCCAGGAGCCTGGGCCTGAGTTAGGAGGGACTTGTGCTCACCCGTGTTTTTTTCAATGCATTTGTATTGATTTCAAAGAGGAGAGAGAGATAGGAACATCGATGGTGAGAGAATCATGGATCGGCTGCCTCCTGCAGCCCCACACTGGGGTCGAACCCCAAACCCGGGCATGTGCCCTGACCGGGAATCGAACCGTGACCTCCTGGTTCCTAGGTGGACACTGAACCACGGAGCCACACCGGCCGGCCTCACTCATGCTTTATGCCACTCACCCCCCAGACGGTTATAGGGTGTGGTGCTAGGTGCTGGGCCACGTGGAGGCAGCCACCGAGGGCTTTCTCGTGTGGTCCTTGGCCTTGCACCTGGCCGTCCCCATGTGGCCCGAGCTCTGATGCCCCGTGTGTCCTGTGCAGACCTTGAACGCGCTGCTGGCGGTGGGGCCTGGGGCGGGAGAGACCCAGGGCGTGCCTGTGAAGGTGCTGGACTGCGACACCATCTCCCAGGCCAAGGAGAAGATGCTGGACCAGCTCTGCAAAGGCCTGCCGCTCGCCCAGAGGCCGGACTCCCGCACCCTGGATGTCGGTGAGGGCGGAGGGGTGGCCGGGTCCTGAGTCCGCGTTGGGCTTGTCTGGGCCGGGCCTGGACCTGCTCTGGGGGCAGAGCTGGGCTGTAGAGGGACCACCTCTCACGTGGGGAGGGGCACCTACTCCTGGTCCTTGGCGAGGTTGGGGGGGGGCTGCCCCCGGTGGAGGGCCGTGTCCCCTGGAGGAAGGGACAGGCTCCGGGTCCTGGACCAAGCCCCACCTTCCCCTTGCAGAGTGGCGGTCCGGGGTGGCCGGGCACCTCATCCTTTCTGACGAGGATGTGACTTCCGAGGTCCAGGGTCTGTGGAGGCGCCTGAACACCCTGCAGCATTACAAGGTGCGGGGGGAGGGAAGCTGGAGGAGGGGTCTGTGGGGCGGCTGGCGGAGGGGTCACCAGCTGTGGTCAGCAGGTCCCGGACGGAGCGACCGTGGCCCTGGTCCCCTGCCTCACCAAGCACGCCCTTCGGGAGAACCAGGACTACGTCCCTGGAGAGAGTGAGTGCCCCCCCGCCCCACCCCCGTGCTTGCTCTGCCCGGCAGTGGTGCCCGGCAGTGGTGCCCGGCAGTGGGGAAAGGACCTGGACCCCAGTGGGCCTGTGTCTGCCTCCATTCCACCCAGAGGAGCCTCCCCAGGTGCCCCCCACCCCGGGAGTTGGCAGGACCCCGGCTCAGGGGAGGGGCCCCTGACAGGCGTTCTGGCGCAGGGACCCCCATGCTGGAGGACGTGGATGAGGGGGGCGTCCGGCCCTGGCACCTGGTCAAGCCCAGCG